AAGAGACTGGGCATCGGCTGGGCTCTATTTAGAGATTGGGAGGCTACATTGCAGGGAACAGGCCACACAGTTCAACCTCAAGTCAAACAAAGTCAATGTTAACTAGGGAAACCAGCAAACCTTTCCAAACCATGCTCCATTTGGGAACTTGATTACATTCTCAACGTGGCAAGCACTTAATGGCACAAGTAGAAATCCCCTGCACAACAATATCATTTAGTCGGTTGCTAATCAAACTCAGGCAATGGGAGTCACTACATGATGAATAGCTGCTAACCAAAGCTCAGCCTTTGATCCACATCAAATGAAAATACTTTACTTTGGAAGTTCTGCTTTTCAATATCCAAATCCAATGAGGGTTTATTATTTATCTATTATACTTGTTAAACAAATCATCCATCCATCCATCCATCTTCTCCCGCGTATCAGTGGTCGGGTTGCGGGGGTAGCAGTTCCAGCAGAGAGCCCCAAACTTTCTTTTACCTGGCGACATCAACCAGCTCTGACTGGGGGATCCCAAGGCGCTCCCAGGCCAGTGAAGAGATATAATCCCTCCACCTGGTCCTAGGTCTACCCCTTGGTCTCTTCCCAGCTGGACGTGCCTGGAACACCTCCCTAGGGAGGTGCCCAGGTGGCATCCTAACTAGGTGCCCGAACCACCTCAACTGGCTCTTTTCGACGTGAAGGAGGAGCGGCTCAACTCCGAGTCCCTCCCTGATGACCGAACTTCTCACCTTATCCCTAAGGGAGACACCAGCCACCCTGCGGAGAAAACCCATCTCGGCCACTTGTATCCACGATCTCGTTCTTTCGGTCATGACCCATCCTTCATGACCATAGGTGAGGGTAGGAACGAAAATGGCCCGGTAGATAGAGAGCTTTGCCTTCTGGCTCAGCTCCCTTTTCGTCACAACGGTGCGGTAAAGCGACTGCAGTACCGCTCCCGCTGCTCCGATTCTCCGGCCCATCTCACGCTCCATTGTTCCCTCACTCGAGAACAAGACCCCGAGATACTTGAACTCCTTCACTTGGGGTAAGGACTCATTCCCTACTTGGAGTGGACAGTCCATCGGTTTCCTGCTGAGAACCATGGCCTCAGATTTGGAGGTGCTGATCCTCATCCCAGCCGCTTCACACTCGGTTGCGAACCGATCCAGTGAGTGCTGAAGGTCGCAGACCGATGAAGCCATTAGAACCACATCATCTGCAAAAAGCAGTGGTGCAATCCTTAGTCCACCGAACTGCAGACCCCCTCCCCCACGACTACGCCTCGAAATCCGAGCCATGTATATTACAAACAGGAAATGGGTCCGACTTACTGCCGAGGACCCGGACACAGCTCTCGCTTTGGGAGTACAGAGATTGGATGGCCCTGAGTAGAGACCCCCTCACCCCATACTCCCGCAGCACCTCCCACAGTAACTCCCTGGGAACTCGGTCATACGCCTTCTCCAAGTCTACAAAACACATGTAGACCGGATAAGCGTACTCCCAGGCCCCCTACAGGATCCTTGCGAGAGTAAAAAGCTGATCCGTCGTTCCACGACCAGGACGGAATCCGCATTGTTCCTCCTCAATCTGAGGTTCGACAATCGGCCTGACCCTCCTTTCGAGTACCTTAGAGTAAACTTTCCCGGGGAGGCTGAGTAGTGTGATGCCTCTGTAATTGGCACACACCCTCTGATCCCCCTTTTTAAAAAGGGGAACCACCACCCCGGTCTGCCACTCCTTCGGTAATGTAAACAAATCATATACATTTATATTGTTAAGCAGAACTTTTGTGTGTAAAAAGTCTCTTTAATTAGGCCAGGTAGTTAACTGTAAGGCTCAGTTCCCCCATTTAGCGTAAAATACACCCAGGAGAGATGTGCAGATGTGCTCCAGCCAGCTCACTTGTTTTGTATAACTGCACCAGGACAAATGGAGACCATTAGATGCCTCATGCTCTGTGGACCTCTCCTTCAAGTGGCCCACTCCCACAAAGGAGCAAACAGGAAGCACTCCTGGCTGGTCACACCCTCAACTGCATCTGCACACGCCATGTCCGCACAGAGCTGTCTAGCTGAAGAGAAAAACAAACATGCAGAAAATGGGAGAGAGATGGGAGAAGGGGCCTCATGCTGTCTGCTAGGTCTCAGGTCTTCTTGCTTGGCTGCCAGAGCTCCCGTGCCCACCACAGAAACTCATCTCTTTTTTCTCAAAAACACTGTTAACCAGAACTGCCTTATCCTCTATGACACATAGACACACCTGGAACTCTTTTCTCTTAGACATGTTCTGCTTCATATTGATACAGTTCAGTGTTCCCCCTAGGATGGAGTCATAGCAGCGGTGCTAAGGCACCCAGCAAAATGTGAGCGTGGAGCGCGTTGAATTCTTTAGTGTGTGCGCGTGCAAAGTGCGCCCCGCCAATATGTTTCTACGCGTCTGCCAGCACAAGAAAGGCTCTTGAGGCCTAGTACATACAGTGGCAATGTCTCAAGATTTAGCAAAATACACCTTTATTGAACATACAGTAACACAAATCCACATAACAAACAATCTAAAATGGACTTATTACTTATTATTATTTTAATTGAAAAAATGTTTAAATTAATGATTTTTAGCTGTGCCGCCGCTAATGGGGAAACACTGCATTTAAATAGATGTGTGCATAGAAGTGTAGGGGAACAACTTAATATCATTTGTATTATCAAATAATCTTCTGATAACTTTCTATATATTGATGGATTGAAAATGGGCTATCTATTTATTTTATTAATAAAATGTATTTTTTTCTAATCAACAATCCAAAACACAAAATATATGTCATGTATTGTACTGTAAGACAAGCAGCCCTACTGTCAACAAAGTACTATCTGTTCTTACAAAAACAAGAACCAATTCACACTTAGCCCTCCTTTCTGTTGTGTATTGGCATTTTAGGACATAATATACTCTTCCAAATGTCCCTACGGGCAGACCTTGCTGTTGACCTAGATGTTCTACATTACTAAGCATTAATTAAACACTCAAACATTAGCAAAGGGACTATGACGAACAAGCTTGATGCAAATAAAGTATGACCATTTTTGAAAAGAGGACAGAAACTATCTGGAGCCAGGAGAAACACCGGGGCTGCAACTAAAGGGTATCAAGAAAAGACTTGCAATGACCACAGTGCAGAAGGAACTGGCTTGAAACAAGGTGATGGATAGCGTCTACATTTATCACCCTGATGGCAGAAAGAGAATCACAAAAATGTTGGTGTGGAGATCCTTCTTGAAAAGTGATGTAAGCCTTGTGGCTCACTGTATTGGCCATAGAAGGGAAACCATTCAGTATACAAACCAATAAAGAGAAACCTGCATCCTTAAAATCCTATAAATATTTATTCTACAAGTCACTGCTGGCAGTGGGTCGAGAATGTTGTACTGGGACTGGCTTCAAAATCCATGTTATCAACTAAGTGTGTCATGCATTCACCTACAGTATGCCCAGCCTGCATTGGCTCACAATACACTGCACCAAAAAGCTATAGCAGATCTAATACAAATATAATAAAGAATAACATCATGTCCACAATAAGATTCATACCACAACTTCTAAGCTCCACACACACTGTTCAAGTCCTGTTAAGGCCTTGGTATTGTCATGTACATAGCTCTTGAATGTCATTTATTATAGCTCTTTATCTGTGTCTTATCACTCTTTCTTGTACTGTGGTTACATGTTCATTTCCCCTCCAGGAATCAAGTCTGATTTCATCTAATAGATATACTGATAAAGTAGCTTGAAAATATAAAAAAGATGATTTAGTCAATAGTCCATCCTGCCCTTTTCCAGGCTTTTGAGACAAGTTTAGCAAACTAAAACATATCAAAAATATATCAACCATTCCAATTTGTGATGATCTATATACCAGAATATTTTGGGGTGAAGCCATGTAATTATAAACTCACCACATAGCTCAGAGAAAAATAGTACTCAATTCCCGCAAAGCAGCTCAATTCCTAAAATATCTTTGGCTCCTAGATTAGAGAGATGTAATAAGATTCAGGTTAGTTTTCTACGCATCTCCGTAAATGTGTTTTTGACAGGATATCTTCTGCCAAATGTGTACAATACCTTTCTTTTATTGATGTTAATATCACACATTAACTAGTTACTTTTAAATCACATTTTACTTTGCTGTCAAACAGAAAGACAAAACGTTCTCTCATTGCAAATGTGTTTCCTATTGTGGAAAGCTACACTTATAATGTTCTTTTGGACATCTACTGTACCACGACTTTCCACACAACCATTCTAGGCTCTCTCAAACTGCCATCAGGGATCATTTTTGCACTTTCATTACAGATGGCAGAGGTGAGGAACCGAGATGGTGAAAGTGAAGCCACAGTCCATGTTAACCCACAACAGCTCTCTTCATTCACAATGCATACCTGACACTGAGCCACTGACAACACAGCTGATGGAAACCTGTGTGTGTGCGTGTGTGTGTGTGTGTGCGTGTGTGCGTGTGTGTGTGTGTGTGTGTGTGTGTGTGTGTGTGTGTGTGTGTGTGTGTGTGTGTGTGTGTGTGTGTGTGTGTGTGTGTGTGTGTGTGTGTGTTGTTGTTGTTTGGGTGGAGCCTCACACAGCAAGAATATTACCGGTTTGATCGAAAGAAGACATCAAATGAATGCAGTGGCATTACTCCAACGATTGTAATGCAAAAGACTGCAGTATCGTGACAGGTGCAGTGACAACAACATTAGCATAAATGGCAGGCTAGCTTGTTTGTCAGGATGTGTTCAGTCATATATATTATGCCGAACAATATAAGAGAATACTACACTCTGAATGAGCCAAGTTGCACCTGTTGAGCGGCTATAATGTAACAACTAGACACATGTTGGGCTAAAATTACGCTACAAGCTATGTTTGTCCTCACCTGAACGTGTTTTCTTTAGTTCAAACTATTTTCCTCGGCATGTGTGGATTTACAAAGGTTAATGACCGCAGTGCGGTTTGCTTACCTGAGTTTTAAGTTAGTCATGAATTCTTCCAGAGACACGTTGTCCAAAAGCACAAAATCTGCTTTTCCAAACTCCAGGCTCTCGTGCTCTGCCATGTTGATACCTTATTTTCGAATTGAAGCTCGCGAAAGAAAAACGTTTTAATAACTTGCTTTGAAGTGCCGACAAGAGGTATGCATTGGCGAGCTTCTCTGAGCCCCTCCTCTCCTCAGTGGACAGCTGTGTGCTCAATTCGCATTTTCATTCGTCAAATTGTAATTCAGTCATGTTTTAGTAAGGTCAAAAACTATTTAAAAAATACCCTGTCGCTTCAAATAGAGGAATAAAATGCTGGATATTTCCTTATAGACCCAGCTTTTCTGTTAGAAATAACAAGTTATTCCGAAATATTCCTTATGTCCATGCAAAGTTTCCTCTTAACTAAAACATGTAACCTTTCCCGTTACATCGTGCGCGAGCTCCGTCCGTTTTCCTGGAGTTTCTCTCCTGTCGTCCCGGCCGACCATCCACCAATAGGATTGCAGCCGCCTCTTCCTAACCACGCCCCTCCTGTGGAGAGGTGTTGGTCAGACTGGTGAAATATTTCTAAAGACAACAGCCCCACTGTTTCTGATACATATTTCAGCGATGACGCGCCACCTCTAAGTTGTAAAACACAGGGAGAAAAATACGTAATGTTTTGGCCTCACTTTTAGGATTCCCTCTGTTACCATAAAAGGAAAAATAAGGTCTCATCAGTGTGATATGAATGAAAGGTATGGATTAGATACAGTGAAACTGCAGCAAAATAGCCTGCTAACTACTAACAATTACACTTTCAGGGATCAGTTCATTTGACCTGCCCATGTTCACTCTGATGAGGCCTGTTCTCCTCTTTTAAAACAACTGTACAAGAAGCTGAACACCATTAACACACTGCCATCAGGCTTACACTGATGTCAGTGTGCCACCTTGTGTAAAACACAGGCACTGCACATGCCTTCTCTAAAAATATAGGGTTGAATAACTTGGATGGTTTGATGGATTGATTTTGCATTTGTATATTTATCAGGGGCATGGCTGGCATATAAAGGTATTTTCTGAAAATGAATTTGGTTAGGTGTGGGCTTGTAATTTGCTTATTTAAAAGCATTTGCATTTATATTTTATCTGGATCCTACATAGAATATAATTTGGAGAAAAATGAGTACAACATTCCGACTTGAATATGTTGTATGTATATGTTTTTGTCCTGACAAAAAGGAACATATGGACATACCTCCCTTTATTTCTACTCTTTTAATTTCTCTGCCTTGTCTTTTTATGCTGCTGCAACGCAAACATTTCCCAAATTGGAATCAATAATGTAGTTCTTATCTTACCTTATCTTATCTTATAGTGGAACGGAAAGTGCAGCAGTTCTTCCAGCGACCCTTCTGTTTGGCTGAAACCCTGCATGCCACAGTGGGGAGTGGGTGCCAAGACAACTGGGGACTCTTACCTTTGGGAAAGAAGAAGTACCAGCCATTGGAAGGAAATAAGAACGTTATAAATGTAGCTATACAGACAATCTAGCTACCTCTACATTTGACTTGGCATTCACACATCTTGTTCTTGTTGGTGGTGTTGGTGGCACAACAGGCCTGGTTCAGGACTGTGTATAGGAAGCAGGGGTCAGGTCTTCCTAAGAGAAAGGCAGGTTGCCTTTGTCGTCATCACTTCAATAATAAGTAAGACGTTTGTTCCAGCTTGAAAACCTTCTGGATCCGCACCAGTCTGGTTTCAAGGCAGGTCACTCCACAGAAACTGCTCTCATTGCTGTCACGGAGGAACTGCACACTGCCAAAACTGCATCCCTCTCCTCTGTCATCATCCTGTTGGACCTGTCTGCTGCATTCGACACGGTGAATCATCAGATCCTCCTTCGCACTCTCCAAAAACTTGGAGTTTCAGGCTCTGCACTTTCCCTCCTCACCTCATACCTGAAAGACCCTACAGCAGGGGTGGCCAACCAGTCAGAGGTTAAGAGCCACATTTTTTCTATGTTACTGCAAAGAGCCACATCAAACACACAGTCACTGATACCGCTTGTTTCCGTTTTTTGTTTTCTGGAGACAAGATTTCAACCACGTCACTGATGCGTTTTTGTGGCATTGGGATATATATTTTTTAAATCCTCTGGAGCAGAGAGAGGAGCTGTGGATTATTGTTATTGATTAATGCATCAGTGTTTCTTAGGGTCAAAAACACTAAACTCACAACTTAAAATGAAAGCGTTTAGTTTATTTAATAAAAGAGCACATGTTCAATGTGAAAAGTGACAGTAGTTATAGATTATTTGCAATTTGGTGCTATATATATATTTAAAAATAAAATGATATATATATATTTTTTAAAACACCTTGAATATCAGGGGGGGAGGCGGGGCTCCGTTGGCGGGGCGCAGCGCCCCTCCAAAACAATGGTAGGGGAAACACTGGATAATGTTTAATCAACGATAGGTTTCCCCCCCCTCAAAGGTGATTGGTTCACTGCATCGCAGGTATTACTGTGATTGGCTCTTGGGCCACATCAAAATTATACGCGCTGTCATCAACATACATAACACGGGACGAAAGTAACGGAGCGATTTTATCCGAGCCTAAACAACTTTGACCGGCCAAATTACGTCAGAATTATCAGCATTCAATACTTAACAGACCTACTAAATATCAGGTTTAACTGTCAGGAGTAGTGTTGTCACGATACCAACATTTTGGTTTCGATACCAAGTCAAGAATTGCGATTCCGATTCTTTTTCGATACTTTTCTTAAAAAAAGGGAAACAGTCTTAAATGTAATTATTGTGCTTTATTTCACACCAGAACCATAACACAAAATTTTAAACAATGAGAACAATAAATAAAATAAATGACAAGAATTCGTATTAAATAAAATTAATAAATGTCTTACAGACAGGCCTCGTGGTGTCCGTAGGCTTGCCCTCACTGTCAGAGATATAGCTAAAATACTTCCACATTTTGCTTCTGGCGTCTTTTTTGTCAACAAGCCGAGGCGCAGCGGCAGTTGCACTCCCACTTGCAACCATGCTTCTCGTTTTCTCACATGCTCTGGCAGCTAGCGCGTGCACGAGAGAGGGGAGGCACTTAGAGCGTGCTTGAGAGAGGGGAGGGACTTAGAGCGTGCTTGAGAGGGGCGGGACTGCAGGCACGGCTGCAGTGCAGGGAGTGGAAGCAGAGCGTTGAACACACACGGCTCTTATTAAAACGGCGCTTTCTCACCGGAGTACTTTCCCCCGTCATTCTTAAAGTACCGATACTAATGAAACGGAGGAATCGTAACGTTTTTAACGGCAGGGTATCGCGGTACCTTTCAAGTATCGGTACACCGTGCAACACTAGTCAGGAGTCAGTGTCTCTCCCCCAAATTCACACATATAAAATTCGATATGAACTGAAGAGCCGCATGAAACTAGGCAAAGAGCCGCATGCGGCTCGAGAGCCGCGGGTTGGCCACCCCTGCCCTACAGGGTGACTTGGAGAGGGTCTGAGTCCGACCCTTGTCAATTAACTACGGGGGTGCCTCAGGGCTCTGTTCTTGGTCCCCTCCTCTTCTCCCTGTACACAAACTCGCTCGGATCAGTCATTAGCCCGCATGGTTTCTCTTACCACTGCTACGCTGATGACACCCAATTAATTCTGTCCTTTCCCCGCTCAGAGACCCAGGTCGTTGCACGCATCTCTGCTTGTCTAGCTGACATCTCTCAGTGGATGTCTGCTCACCACCTCAAGCTCAACCTTGACAAGACTGAGCTGCTCTTCCTCCCGGGAAAAGATTGTCCCACTCTTGACCTAACAATCAACATCGGCACCTCAGTTGTTTCCCCGACTCAGACTGCAAGGAATCTGGGTGTGACCCTAGATAACAACCTGTCCTTCACTGCAAACATCGCTGCTACAACCCGTTGCTGCAGATACACGCTTTACAACATCAGGAAGATACGTCCCCAGCTGACTCAGAAAGCGACTCAGGTTCTGGTCCAGGCTCTCGTCATCTCACGCCTAGACTACTGCAACTCCCTCCTGGCTGGTCTACCTGCATGTGCCATCCGACCTCTGCAGCTCATCCAGAATGCAGCGGCTCGTCTGGTCTTCAACCTTCCTAAATTCTCCCACACCACTCCGCTCCTCCGCTCCCTTCACTGGCTTCCGGTAACTGCTAGAATCCACTTCAAGACACTGGTACTTGCTTACCATGCTGCGAGTGGATCTGGCCCTTCCTACATCCAGGACATGGTTAAACCGTACACCCCAGCGCGTGCACTACGCTCTGCATCAGCCAAACGACTCGTTGCGTCCTCGCTGCGAGGGGGACCCAAGTTCCCATCGGCGAAAACACGTGGGTTTGCTGTCCTGGCTCCAAGATGGTGGAATGAGCTCCCCATTGACATCAGGACGGCAGATAGCTTGCACATCTTCCGGCGCAAACTGAAAACTCATCTCTTTCGACTCCACTTCGAGCGTTAGAACTATTAACGAAGCACTTTTATACTAATAAAGGACTGGCTTACCTAAAGCCAGTTGAGTAGCACTTGAAATGTTTGGCTCTATGAAACCTGATGTACTTATATGATTCTGTTTTCTTCAAGGTTGTGTCTTCCTGGTCGAATGTACTTATTGTAAGTCGCTTTGGATAAAAGCGTCAGCTAAATGCAATGCAATGTAATGTAATGTAATGTAAAGAAGAGATTTTAGCTTATAGTAAGTTTAGATTGTATTGACTGTAACTCTGACGGAATGAATACAGCAGGTTGCCGTACAAATCATTATTTTTATCTAAAGAACGTTATTTTATTGACTGATCGTCTTCCTGAGCTATGTTTTGTATCTGTGATTGAATAAAATTAGACATTCAGTAGATGATGTGCGTATGGAGATAGACAGTGAGTAATGAATATAAAGAGGCTACCTGAGTCAGAGCATTCTGCTGCTGCTGCTGCTTCTGAAATGTTGTTTCTTCACAAATTACATTCTCCATTTCTGCGTGTAATTTTAGCAAAGATTTACATTTTGCAACGTCATTAAAAAAGTCAGCACATTCTGGCACACTTTTAATATTTTAAAATTAACATAACAATGAGTGATTCAGATGGTGCAGCTTATACTGTAAAGTCTATAACTGACAGGTTTCTTTAAAAAGTGTGTTTTCATTGCTTTAGAAGTATAATATATTTATTATAATAATCTTTAAAAGGACATAATGTCTAGAAATAACCTTGGCAAGCATATACAGTATAAAAATGAATCATATTAAATGGAAAAATTGATTTTCTTAGTGACTTTTCAAACACTTTTGGTCTATTTGTTTACAGAATTTTCATAGTTTTTGCTATAGCCCTGGGCCCGAGGTGTTGTGTAAGTGTGAAGCCTAATGTGCCTCATAAATCAATTACATTTGCAAATCATCCATCCACTCAACTTTGCAACAACAATGTCTATTATTGCCAAATTGGACAATTGTTTTCTCTATTCATG